TTCAAAGTTTAAGAGTAAGTTATTTTTTATTTTTTTTATATATTAAATTAATTTTAAATTAAATTTATAACTTACTAATTAAATCTATAAATTAGTCAGGATATTATAGAACTAAAGGCACTCTTTTAATTGCAAATACCCTAATTGATTTATTTATAACAACTAATATTCTTACGCCCATAAATTCTTGTTCATTACAAACTGATAATTATATTCAAGAAATCCTTGTTCCTGAAACAGCAATGAGTAAAGATGTTAGCCGTAATTCAAAAAAGTGTCGTAATACAAAATTTTTATATGCCGTAATTAATTAAGGCTATAAAAATCTTATAGCCATAATTCAAAATTTTTTAAAAAATAATTAAGGCTAACATCTTTAGCAATGAGATTAATATTTGAAGACATTGTTCTTTAGAAACTGCACGGAATATAATGATAGCAAGTAGTGATTTTGGTGATTATGTGCATAATTGTGATTATGAATAAAAAAATAATTATTTTGCTAACGTATAATTAGATAATAAAAATTGAAAATTAACAAATGAATATAATTTTTATTTGATACATGATTCAAAAAAAAAACTTAAATATTTCGTGATAACTGTCGTATAGCTCCTGAATCAAAAAAAGTACAATGATTAGTTACACAATTTGGTGAATCAAAAAAATCTGCTTTGTGAATCAAAAGAGATTATTTACTATCTCATGATTACTGTATTACAAACTTCTGAATCAAAAAAAGTACGGCAATTTGTTATACAATTTGATGAATCAAAAAAATCTACTTTGTGAATACAAAATGATATATTTGCCTTAAATCCTTTTTGTTAATTACTTTATCTGGAAACAAGGCTACCAGGAGATTGTATTGAGTTGATATGCCCATTTTCTCTTGAATCATCCAAAATTTAACTTTTTCAATCATTTTGTCAGTTAATTTTTGATATTTTGGTGCTATTTCACCAACAAGTGGGTAAGGTTGCTGGAGAAACTAGGGGTTTTGGCAAGTTAGCGAAATGCTGAAATAGCAAAACTTTGCTGAAACTATATGAAAGTCTTATTAAAAAGTTGGCGAAACTCTGGAGAAAAGCGAAACCTGTCAAAACTTATTATAAATGCTAAAACTGCTGAAACCTTGCCGAAACTATAATAAAACTATAGTAAAATCTTGGAGAAACTAATCGTAAAATTTTGGAGAGGTTTAGGCAGGTAACCTTACAAGTGGGTTCATATCATAATTGTGTTTACTAATTATACTATTAATCTGAACACCATTTGAAGATCTAGGAAATGCAAGATTAATATGCCAAGAGCATCCAATCATTTCAGAATCTCTATCCCTCCTATTTTCCATTAAGATAGTTTTTTGAGTTTCATGTGTTTAGGCATGTGAGCATTCATACATTCTGCGTCTAGTAATTGTATTATTATTTGGATCTGGTATACGCTTTTTTTACAAAGGCAGAATCCTTGTTATTTTGCATATTTGTCAAGATATGACTCAACAAGTTCCCATGAACTAAATTTTTTTTCTTAATTTAATTTTAATCTGTTTTTTTCTTCACTCTCATACTCACTCTCATATTCACTATCGTCATATTCTTCTTCATAATGATAATTTTCCAAATGATTTCTTATGATATTTATACTTTCATTTCCTGTTTAATTTTCGTTATCTGTTCATAATTTTTAAGGAATAGATTAAAAAAATCATATGAGAAATCAAGTATCAGATCAGGAAAATCAAATAATAAGAACAGAATAACAGGTTAGAATTTTTGATCGTGGTACTCACTATTTTCTTCCTGATGATCATATCATTTCCTAATTGAATTTCATTATTTGTTCATGATTTTGAGAAATGAATCAAAAATCATGTAAGAAATTAAGTACAGTCTAACCTCAATATACCGATATTCGATATACCGATATATTATTAAAAACTTATTATACCGATAAAATTTTATTTTCCCACTATATGTGAGGACATATAAATATCGGTATAACTTTGATATAACGATATTTTCTAAAAATTTCATATATGTCCCGACATATTGTTATATAAAGGTTTGACTGTATCAAACAATTCAATAACAGGTTAGATTCATTGATCATAATATTTATTATCTTTCTGATGATCTTTCATATGATCTTTTAAAAAATCTACTAAACTTTCATTTCCTATTTGGATTTCATTAGCTATCTCATTATTTTCAAGAAACAAGTCAGAAAAATCATATGAGAAATTAAATAGCGGGTTAAAAGTATCAACTGAAGAATTATGGCGAGAGTTTGATGAAAGATTAGAATCATTATATGAAGAGTCATAATAAGAGTTAATTAAATAGTGGGTCAGAACTATCGTACAAATTATTATAAAAAAGTTTGTATTTAAAATGATATTTTCTGTATTGCAGTTTTATGTAAGTGATATTAGCAAATAGAAACAAAAGTGATACTAATTTTATTAATTTTATTCAAAAACTAATCCTTTAGAAAAGTGAAACAAGATAAAAGTTTTTTTAATGAAATGAGTGAGAATTTTTGAAATGGTCTGTAAATACAATAATAATAACAATGCAGTATAATAATAGTATCACAATTAATGTAAACATTATATCATCGTGAAATATTTAATTTTGTTTAACTTTCAGGTGATATCACCTATATTGAAATAAAATTTATTAATAAAATTAATAGGCGAAATCACCTAGGTTAAATCACCTATTTAAACTTATTAAATTATAATAAAATCAATGGGTGATATTACCCGAGAGATATCACCCCAGGTGAAAATTAGTTATAATCTTATTTTTTTATATTGTAATTAATAATTTTATTACTATTTAGATGCTAACAATAAATCCATATCCAGGAGATAATAGTATTATTGTAATAATTAACAATGCAAGAATCCATCATAATAATGAATTAATAGTTTTATTGGAAGAATTAGGATGTTGTGTTGTTTTTCTTCCACCTTATTCTCCTGATTTTAACTCCATTGAGACTGCATTTTCAACTGTTAAATTATGAATTAAACATAATCATGATTTTATGAAAGCTTGTAATGATTCCATATATGTATTATTAGTTACGTGTAGTCAAATTTTATCTCAAATAGCAAAATCATATCATCGGGAAATTTTTTAAGATACAGAACTGCGGAGATCTGTAAAATTAGCAGATCTCCGCATTTTTTATATGAATTTATATGAAAGTCTGCGATTTTGCAGATTTCTGCTTTTTTTTTATGTGAAATTTATGCGGAAGTCTGTGATTTTGCAGATTTTTGCTTTTTTTTCATTAAAATATCAGTTTGATCTGCAATTTCATCATTGATTTAATATTTAAACTTTGATTAACTTTAACTTGATTTAATACTTAAATGATTTTTTTTACAATACTCTTTAAAAAAAAAAACTTTACAAGACTTTAAAAAAATAATTTTTTCTATAACACTTATTACTAAAGAAAAAAACTTTGTAAAATAATTTCTTTTCTTTTACCGTTACAATATAAATCCTAAAGAAAGACTTTATAAGTTGTTATAGTTACAAATATTTTTAGGAGATGAACATGAAGAAGAAGAAGAGAAAAATTCAAGTGATGAAGAGAATAATATCATTTTACAAACAGTTTTAATAAAATGAATAAATACACGGTATTTAGAACCAAGATTATACCACGTAGTGAAGTCAAAGCATTGGTGGCAAAATGTTCTTCCATTTTATGATATTACTCGATTTAAAAAAATTTTAAGAATGCATCCACATAACTTCCAACAATTAGCCAACCTTATACGATCCCATCATGTATTTTCATCACAAGGAAATAAACCTCAAGCTTGTGTTGAATTTCAGTTAGCTGTATTTTTTTGTCGACTTGGATCTACTGGAAGTTTGTTTGAAGTTTGTTCAAGATTTGGAATAGGAGAAGGGACGGTAATTCTTTATACTAAACGAGTTATTCAAGCAATTTTAGCAAAAAAAAGAGGTTTGTTAAGTGGCCTACTTCAGAAGAGCGTAAAAAAGTTAATGAAGGATTTGAAAATTTAGGAGGGCTGAAAAATGTAATTGGAGCAGTTGATGGAACCTATATTCCTATGAGAAATGCTCCAAATAAAGATCCAGAGGTTTACTTTACTAGAAAAAAACGCTATGCTATTCACTGTCAAGGTATTGTAAATGATAGAGGCATTTTTACTAGTTTTGATGTTGGCTGGCCGGGCTCAGTACATGATGCCCAAGTTTATAGAATTTCTTTTTTTTATAAAGATTATTCTCATCTTATTCAAGATGATGATTATCTTTTGGGTGATTCAGCTTATCCTATTTCTCCTTTCTTAATCCCACCTTTTAAAGATCCATCTTCTCGAAAACACAAAAAATTTAATCAATTCCATTCATGTCATCGAGTTGTAATAGAAAATACCTTCGGGAGATTAAAAGCGAGATTTAGAATGTTAAAGGATCTTGATATTAAAATGGTTAAGATGGGAGTATTATTCACATGTTGTGCAATAATTTTACATAACTTTTTAGAAATAAATATGGATATTTGGGAGGGTGATTTCAATAATAATATAGAAGAAGATGATAATGGCGAAAATGATAATTATACATTAAGGAATAATGATGAGGTATTAAAAAGAACTGGGTAGGCTAAAAGAAATTTAATCTTTCATCAACATTTTTCATAAATTTTTCATAAATAATATATCATGCATATTTTAAAAGATATTTTCATCAAATATATGATAAATAAAAGATTTAAATTTTAAGTTTATTGAATTTTTAAAAAAATACAATACATGTTAAATTCTTAAATAAAAAATTTGCAGCAAAATGTTTTGTTATTCACAAATTTATTGTTAAATCCATTATTATTATATTATTACCTATTATATTATATTACTATTATTATTATTATGATTATTGTTATTACTATTATTATTGCTATTGTTATTATTGCTACTACTTATTAACGTTAAATTGCAACTATTCTAAAGATAATTTATATTGCAACATTCTTAAATCCAATTCTTTCATTCTAATCTCATATTGCATACGTGATTGCTCTATTTCAAACTCCATTTTCTTTCGCAATGTTCCAGCTTTAATTCGCTCAACTTCTAATTCTTCTTTTTTAAAAACTGTTTCTGCTTCTCTAATTTCCTTTTAAACTACTTGCTTCTTTTCAAACAGGTCATTCTCAGAGGCAAGTTGTTTTTCCCAAATTATTTGTCTTGCATTACTCATAGAAATCATGGCTTCGGCTAATGGATCCTGTGAAAGAGATTTTTATTTTTTAGTAATTTGATTATCTTTTTTTTCTGCTAAAACTTCTTCGTTAGTTTCTGTTTCTTTTTCTTTAAAATTGTCAAACAATTGAACATCATCAGAAAATCCATCTACTAAAAATCCCGGATTGTGATTTTTACGAGTTCCAAATAAAGCATCAAGTCTGTCAAACCATTTTCATTTTACTTGCGTCTCTCTTCGTGTTTTGTTCTCCTTTTCTTTAATTTTATTATACTTAGTTACAAGACGAGATACTTTATTTTTAATCTGCTCTCACGACTTTCCTGAAAAAATCTTAGTAGCAGCTGTTTTGGCAAAATTGGACTTATTTTTTTTGTAAATATCAAAATTATCTTCAAGAAAACTTATCAATAATCCGGTATTTGTATCATCCCAGCCAGTTTCTTCTTTAACAGAACTTGCTCTTTCTGTTTTTTGGCCATTATTCTTTTTAGAAACTTTAGTGATTACAGGTGTTGAAACATCAGTAGTAAGTACCGTCACTTCTTGAATTTCTGATGGAGTAAATGTTAATACAGCTATAACATAAGGGTCCCGTACAGGTGTTTGTGGTTTAGGAGCAATTGGACGAAAAGTAGATTTTGGAATAGGCATGGTAAAAGTTAGAACTTCAAAAAGTTTAACGCAAAAAATGTGCAGACGCTAGCACAGGTCGAAGGGGCACCATTGTCCAAAATTCAAAAAATGCAAATTCCACATTTTTCTGGAAAATGGTGGGAAATTGTGGAAAATGCTGCATTACGCTGAGCAATTTTTTGGAATAGCATTGTTACAACATTGTCCGATTTAGCAAATCTTAAAATTTTATGAAAATTTGGGAAAATGCTACATTATATCTCAAATGTAACATTTCGTAACATTTCATAACATTGTTATAACATTGTCATTAAAATCAAATTTTGCTTTTTTTTTGTCAAATGTTCCGATTTTCTGGCAAATGGTGCATTTTTTTATGAAAATTCTATATTTTTTGTCAAATGTTGCATATTTTCAGCAAATTTTATGTTTTTTTGGTCAAATGTTTCATTTTCGACAGAATGTTAAAATGTTACATTTTTTTTTTGAAAATGCTCAATAATATGGCATTACACTGGAAAATGTAGCATTTCACCAAATTACACTAAAAAGCATCACAATTATCACATTTTTTGGAAAATTCCACATTACACTAAAAAATGTAGCAATATACTAGATTATGTAGCATTACACTAAAAAATACCGCAATTACACTAGACGATGTAGCATTTCACTAAAAAGTACCACAATTATCATATTTTTTAGAAAATTTTGCGTTATACTGGAAAATGTAACATTATGCTAGAAAATGCGGAATTGCACTAAAAAACGCGGAATTGCACTAAAAAACACAAAAAAAATACTACAATTACACAGGATAACGTAGCATTACACTTAATTACATTAGATAATTTTTTATTTATTTGTAAAATTACAGACATTATTAAATTTATAATATTTATATTCTAACGCATTATTTAACATTAAATTCACATTGTTAATATTAACAATGTATCAACACGATGTGTTGTTTAATTTATATATACGAAACCTTACTACTGAAG